TATTTCCCTTGGGCCAAGAGGGTTTAGATTTAGCACATAGACAACCAGCCTCATGGCAGCTCAGCCATTTTTGGACCTTTTGACTATCTAGCATTGGACTAATACATAAAGATCAGTTCTTGTGCTGTTTCTTTAGAAGTCAGTGATAGATTGCAAATCCTTTAAAGCCTTTTGTGGTGAACCACAAGGCTATTTCATTCCATAGAAATCTCCCTCGGCTCCCTCTTTGGTTGTTTTTTTATATGGTCTGGAGCTTACCTTTTTTTTTAAATTTCAGCAGGACAGTAGTTCACCTGATTTGTCTCTTGTCCCTTGTTTGGAAGGGGAGAGTTGATTTTATCTGCTGTGTTGATTGTTATTCAACTTTTAATTGTTGCTTGACAATTGTAATATGCTTTTTGTGATTTATCTGAGCTAAGACAGTAGGAAATGCATATTCTTAAATCACCAGGGACAGGGAGGGACAGCCACATTCTGATAATTCTGCTTGCTGGCTTTGAACATGATCAGACAGCGCAATCTCAGAAAGGGCAGCCTGTGCTGAGCTGCAGTAATTCAGGCCACTGACGGGATCACCACGTTGCTCCATCTTTCAAATGGAAAATAGGAATCTCCCGTAAAAATACTGGCATGTCTGGGAGAGGATTCATAGCTAGCACTTGCTTCGTTTTTTAGGGAGACAGCTGTTTATAATGCAAATGTGCGTTCACACATGCAAGCACCACCCCCACTACCTGCCAAATAGAGTGACATATTCCCGTAAAAACAGCTCCACACGGCTGCTCTGATCATTTCTATCTGCTTTTTGTTAGCCAGGTCAGTGGTCTTTGAAATTAAAGAATAGTCAGCCTTATTAAAACTAATACAGGTTTTAAGCATAGCATTTTTTATTTAATGCATCCATCACAGATAGATTTCTTTTAAAAATGCAGCATCTGCCTTTGTATTCTCTGTAATGCCCCCTATAATTGGCTGGAGATGGTTGTTCGTATGCAAATAAGATAACTCACAAAAGTAATTACTTTCACAGCTTCCCTGATTTTAGGTCAGAAAGACACCCATAAATAATTGTACAGTAATTTCCAATTTGGCTCATAGTCCTATAAAATTTAAAACAAATAAGTATACCTGAAAGACGAATCTAATGTTGTCCCTGAAATTGCAAGTGACAGATTTGATCAAGGCTACTTAGAAACATTTATCACTCAAAGGTCCGCAGGGAGAAAGATACAGGGCGGTTTCACTAAAGAAACAGGGAAGGTAGAATGATTGAAGAAGGGCAATGTAATTTATCAGAGGAATCACTTTCTACCTGCAGAGTTGATAAGAAAGCAGCCCAGCAGACAGAAAGTGGATCAAAAAATGTTTCCTACAGGAGCGTGTCGAAGAGCATATCCCAGGGTTCTTCTCTTCCCAGCAACTCTATCAATACTCAGAGAAACCAGAAGAAAAACAGCAAAACAAAGATTGATATAGAAATACCAAATGAGTCCTTGGTAAGCAATCAGAGACAATTCCCTTAAGAATTTCCTGTAGCCCTTACTGTTATTGTATTAGTACAAGGTGCATGCCCGTGTATGGTAAAAGTACGCAGTTCAGAACTGGGGAGTGATGGATTAATGTCAGCATCCAGTGATCTGATTAGGGAATCCGATTATACTATTTCTATGGCTAACAAATGGTGCAAAATGATTCAGCCTGTTTTAGAATGTGCACAGGCTACCTGTGCTTTGAAGCAAGACACTGGCAATTACACGGAATCCTTCGTTTCATCTCTTAAGAGTAATCGAAACAGATTGAGATAAAAATAATAACAGCAGTGGCTTCCAGTTGTGTATCATTTTTAGCTGAAATCAAATTCCATTGTGTGGTTCATATTGAGCAGATATCCCAATCTGCTGCAATATTTATTGTTTTAAATATGCACTCTAAGCCTATCTATGTATATTGGTTTTGCTCGTTAAACATTTGGAGATAATTTGGTAAATTAAAAACAGTACAAGCTTGGATTTTGCCTTTTGGGAAACATATGTGATGGTTATCTGAATTTCTGGAATGAGAAATGGTTCCCTAATTATTTTACTCTCGCAAGTTACAGCTATTTTAGGAATGCGAGTGCTTGAGTCAGTGTTCTTTTCCAGCTGAACTAAATGGGTTGTGCCTTGGATCAGCATGTATGTTTTTGAATGAGGTAATGACAACCCCGATATGGATGCTGGTACTTAGGAGATAGCATTAACTAATTTTTTCCCAGGGATTCCCCACCCCCACCCCCGATCTCTCAGAGGCTACATTCTTTATAAGAATATAACGTGAGGTCCCTTTCCAAGAAATATGTGTTTGTTTTTTATTATTAGATTTATATTCTAGCTTTCTGTTTATATAAGCACTCAAGATGGCTGGGAAAAACTTGCCCATCCATTTTTTAAAGTTCTGAATTACTTAGGATTGACTATCTAAGGGACAGTTTGCTTTCTAAGAACCTATGTCATGAATGAAGTATACAGAAAAGCCCTCTGGTGGATACCATCTGCTCACAGCAGGCTGTTTCATCAAGCACAAGTGAAAGGTCTTTCTCCTGTATTGCTCCCAAAGACGCTCAGCTTGGTCTCCCTTATTCTCCAAGCTTTTTTCTGTTGTCTGTATGAAACGGGGGGGGGGGGGGGCCTCCCCTTTACAAAGTTTGAAATA